CTTTGCTTGTGTAAATCACTGTGTTGGCAAACACTAGAAATGGAGATAGCTTGTTTTCTGTTCTAGAACAGGTCTTTTCATATCAGCTTCCTCTCTTTTCTCTTGACTTGAAGAATGCCCATTGAAAGTAAGGTTAGAGAAGTTGCCTATCCGTTCAACTACTTTTGGTTCTGAAGAACCATTTCTGTTTTCAGACTCTAGCTTCCCTTTTTTAAACCAATTACCCTAAAAATAGCATCAGAACCACAGAGCAGCAGTTACCAAGGTTAGGTTCCTGAAAGAGAATTTCTCCTACCCTTTAAAGCCTAGTAGGTCTACAAATGAAATTATGTCATAGACATGATGACAAAGTCTTTTTCACAGGAAGTGTGTCAGTTGTCTACATAATCTTCCAGTCATTGTCTTTAGATATGACATGCACAGAGAGGTTCTTTGTAATGCTGCTCTATCAGTAGTTTAATGTATGTTTTTCTGCAAGCCTGTTAAAAAATCAGTATTTGCAGAGCTGAGAAACAGTAAAATGAGAGAACTTTATTTCAGGTTTTAGGTGTGTTTTCTACTGAATTTTTATGGCCAAAGCTGGATTTTCCTGGGGAGAGCAAGCTATCATCCTAAATCCAAGTGGGTTATTGGCAAGGTTGACCAAAGGGAGGTAGTCGTTCATGCAGAGAACTTTTCTCTTAATCTGTTCAAGTCAGCTAGAAGCCTGTCTGTCTTAAGTGGTGGCTGTGTTGTACAAAAGCCAATATACCTTTTTCTGGGGTCTCTCTTGTTATATTTCAGCAGCTAGTTTCTTCAGTAAAGGGCAAGCTTTTTTTAGTTAAGTAATTCAAATTGTTTAAAAATATCATTAGGCCTCTTAGAGGCAGAAGATTCAGGGCATGATACTGAAATATGTCTTCATCCAAGCTAAAAGGAGGCTGTTCAGTTACTGACTTAATATTGTATGATACTTTTCATTAACCACACTGCATACAACACTCTAATGCTTTATTGTCTTGAGATGATACAAATTGCATAGTTGAAACAAACATAGAAACCTCTACTTCTCTTTTCCTGTTTGTGGTAATAAGAGGATGTTCCATGTCTAAATTAGGTCCCAGGAATTTTAACATTTCTGTGTAACAGTTGCTTGAAGGTAGTTCCCATCTGTAAGAATAGTTGTGTACACCCCCATACATTACTTTATACAATTAAGCATTGCAGTAAACTGTTGGTTTGGGTGACTAAGAAAGGAGGGGAATGTGGTGGTTATTAAGGTACACAATATGGTGCTTGTAGAGGATTGATGGGCATGAGGGAGAAGAGGAAGGGGAAAAGTTTAAGAGATCTGTGATGTTAGGTAATGGGGATGGTGCTATTTGTGGTTTTTTTATCCACTTGTTTCCAAAAAGTACCCCTTGTTAATAGTTTTTAAAAACTTCCACTTTCCCTCTCCCTAAAATTGGGGATCCCTCTCTGAGCTTACTGCTAATGATGACCAGCTAATTTGACTGGCAGTTGCTCACTCGTTACACATACACCCCCAGTTCAGACCAGGCTGGGCAGTAGAAGAGCTTTGCTGTTGTCCAATGACTGGGTTCTGCAGAGGCTGGAAGAGGAAGGCAGGTCCCTGAAATGTTGCTTGCAGATAGCTGTTGCAGAAATTTTGTGACTAAGCTCTGAGAGGCTAATGCATTTTGCTGCCAGTATACGTAGTCATGAAATGCTTTTTTTTTTTTCTTCAGGAATTTTGTGAATACTTTTATCCAGTTTAAGAAACCCATTATTGTAGCAGTAAATGGCCCAGCCATTGGACTTGGAGCATCCATACTGCCTCTCTGTGATGTGGTTTGGGCTAATGAGAAGGCTTGGTTTCAGACACCATACACTACTTTCGGACAGAGTCCGGATGGATGTTCATCCCTCACATTCCCTAGGATAATGGGCTTGGCTTCTGTAAGTAGCTTGCATGGGGATTTTTTAATTTTTTTAAATTATTTGGTGTTTGATCCTATCATCTTACAGTGTTATATGGACTGGACTTGTTTCATAAAGCTATTCCTAAGAAATAGATGCATTCCTAGCCTTTTCCATTCCAAAGGATAGATTGTGATTAGGCCTATATGAGTGTGGAAAAGGAGTAAGAGGGTATGTGGATTTCTCATAATTTTTCTCATACCCCTCTCCATACCTAGGTTATCACATGGGGGGATTTATGCAGCAGTCTTTCAAAGGGCATACCAAAAATTGCTCTCATTTGTACTCCCCACAGCGCTCCAAAAGGCATCATGTTTAAATCAAGTACAAATGTATTGGAGTACTGCTCCTCCAGGCAGCACCTGTATTGGTTTACTTGCAGCATCCTTGCTTGCTATGGTAAAACGTGTGTGTGTTACATTTCAGGGCTTTTGTAGTTTTTTTCTTTTGCCTGAAAAGCCTCGTCATACTTCCCCATTATGTTCCTTTCAAGTGATGTGCTATGCAGTAATTATTTTGGGGTTTGTCCCAGTTAATTGTGCGATGAAACATTTTTGTGTTTTGTCATTCATGAGTTTCCTGATACTACAGACCCTGAAGGTCCCTATCAGAGTTTTTTAAAAAAACTCCAAACAAAAAAACCCATACCCACATTACTAAAGCTGATCAGGCTGGCTGGCTGATAGTCAGGCAGGCTGTTTGTAGTAGTACTTTTAATCAAGTGAAGAGACAGTTTAACAAAAAGGTTTAAAACATCATTTTATATTAATTTATTTGCATTATTTTTTCACAGTACATTCTTTCATACCACATGTGCATCCACATCATATTCCAATATGAAATTGACTATTAGCAGTATGAAGCGTATGTCATTAGTTGTATGATTTCCTCCCCCCATCCCCCAAGCTATTATTCATTATAAAACTGCTTTTTCCTATAGGCATTTACTAATACATTTCATCATTGTAAAAGGATCTTTAATTACATGTGATTTGAACAGATCTCATGGCTAATTAATGAATCTTTGTAGGATATAGGGATACAGTTCTTAGAAAATCAATTGAAATTTGTTAGATTCATCATTCTGTTGTCTTGCTGTGTCTTCTCATTTTTAGAGTCTTCATACATGCTGCATATTCCAAATAAGTAATCATTCCTTTCCATTTTTATTTGGTTTCTACATCTCAACGTACTCTGGCTATGAGAGACCTGGTGATTATTTTGTTTTAGCAAGTTTTGAGTTTGGACAGCCACTGCCTGTATGAAGTCTGACCTTTCATGTACCTTTTGCAAATGGATTTTTTTTCCCTATACCAAAACTAAAGCCTGCATTCATTCTCAGAAAATAACAGACCTTATCTGGATTTGACAACCTAGGGCATTTTTACATGTGCTTTTGGATGCAGCGCCAGGTGCTTTAATTAGCAAGATGTGCTAATTAAAAGCACCTGCGTTTCACATGTATGAGTGTCACCATGCATCCCTGCGCTGAAAAATGGCAGCGGGGGTGCTTTGAACTGTAGCTCATCAGGCATGTTTTATTTCAAATCACAGCACCGCCATTTTGTCAGTGTGGAGATGCACAGAGACACATGATGAGCAAGGCTGCCGGAGCACGTCAGTTTCCGTGCTCCAGCAGACTCGATTAATTGAGTCTGCTCTGACGCACTGGATTTCCAGCGTGTTGGAGCAGGCTCTGTGCATATGTGTTGGAATCTCTAGAGATCATGATTTTTTTTCCATAAGAGATTCAGCATTTTTATGACAGTTAATCAGGAAATCTCTATGTTCATTCACTAGACTCCATTATCTCTGATATTTCAATTCCATCAGTTGATCAGGTACAACATGAAGACTTTTTCACATAATGTATAATAATTAAGCTTTGGAATTCACTGCTACATTAAATTCTTGAAAGTCCTTATAATGGGTATTGGAAATATTCAGTTTTACAATTAGGTATAGTGAATATTTAAGAAGAGATATTACACATTGTGTTTCAGAATTTATACTGTCTGTTAGGAATCATATTGAAATGTAAAGAAGAGAATGAGTTACTCTATATAAGTCCATTGCAGGGTTTGTATACATACTGGTCACTGTTGGAGATGATGCTGAACTGTTCGCATGATGCAATATGGAAATTCCTATATTATTTCAAAAAGTCATATTGTTCCCTAGACTCATGCATGTCATTCATTGGAGCAGAGGTGATGCACTGACTTTTTAAAAGAATTTCCCAGAGAAAAGACAGAAAAATAAGCAAAAGAAAGCAGGGAAATGGACTAAATGGATACAGCAATTTTGAGAATGAGCAGAAAACAGAAGAACAAACAGAGAGACTATAGCACTCATAAAATGTTAGAGAAACATTTTATCACTTGTAATTATACTGCTTACTATTATTTCTTTGGAAAATAGCCAATAGCTTTTAATTTCACAAGTGGTAATAGTAGAATATTATTGATGGTGGCACTTCAGTCAAATTGAAGTTAACATTTTGGCATAGACTGTAGCTAGGTTGAAGAACTAAAAGCTGTTGTGGCAAAGTATTACCTTTCAAAACCTGTTAACCCATAATCCTAATGAGGACTCTAACTTAATTTAAGTGTTTGAGGCTTTGCTGTTTTAAAACTTGGAAATGGGATTGAACATGACCAAAAAAATTCCATTACAGTTCTTTGAAAAATTTCTGATTCAGAGACCTCAGCCAAATCTACTGAATTCTGAAGAAATAAGCAAGCTCTCTGTCATCCAGACACTCATCCCACAGTTACTGCATGTGATAAATATGCAGAGTTAATTTGTTGGCTTAAGTCTATGCTTTGTAAACTCCTGCATAGATTGATACGACCTTTTGAGATTACAAATATTGGTGAGTAAGTTCTTTGAGTCAAAGGTACACAAAGGCTATAAACAGACATTGCCAAATGAAGCAAATCAGCTGCGCCAGGATATATTGTAGCACAGATGATCTGCTTCATTGGGCAAAACAGATGTCAACCATTGCCTTGCAGGCTCCAGGCCCTTGCTACTCTTTGGAGCTGAAGGGGCCCAATCCTGCAGGACAGCACTTGTGGTGCACCTCTGCAAACAGGAGTAACCCAAGAAGGTGCTCCTGGGGCTTCAGGAGAGTTTCTGGGGCATGTAGGATTGGGCCCCTGAAGCCCTTGGAGGGCCTGTCGGGGGTGGATGGAGCATGTGGGTAGCTTCAGGCAGGCCATGCTCCATGCCTGAAATCAGATAGATATCTGCAGCAAAATAGCAGCATTAATACTACCGATTATCTCACCCACAAATTTGGACATTTGTGGTGCGAAAAAGAGTATAGATGTCTGCTTTCACTTTGTGTTTCCATAAAAAAATTTATGGTAGCACAAAAGCCACATCTGCTTGCAGGCCAGTCGACTCATGTGGAGGTTTGAGTTCACCTGGAGCTGTGTTTTGCTAAAATCCAAAGGAGTGTTTGTTGTTGAACTTTTGTTCATCTAGTTCAGGGGTTGTCAACCAGAGGTATGCGTACCCCCAGGGATACTTAGAAAGGACATAGTGGGTACACATGGGCGGGCAGGCGGGCAGAGATGGAGCATGCCCTGGGGTGCAACAGCAGCATCTCCCCAGTCGGTGCCTTCCCATACTTTACTCCTTACCAGGGGGAGGGGTGCCCTGGGTGCTGCCGGCCCCAAACAACACGCTGCAGCGCCTCCCCCCCTCCCCCCCCCCACTTCAACTCGTTCTCTGTGCCAACTCCCAGGAGCAGGGCCAGGAGGGCAAAGGCAATGGTGCCTCTATGCGGGCCACACAAATGCCAGTCAGGGGGGTGAAGAGGGGCTTACACGCAGCAGCTGCCACCACCCCACACCGCCATTGCCGCGCCCCGCACTGCTTTCCCATGGCCGGTCACACGTGCAGCTCCGCAGACTGCCAATGCACCTCGTGCACTGCCTGTCAGCAGCCCGTGGAGCTGCACATGCGACTGGCCACGGGAAAGCGGCATGGGGGGCGGCAGCAGCGGTGCAGGGCAGTGGTGACTGCTGTATATGAGCCTTGCCCTGTCTGGCCGGCCAGGCAGCATGTATGCAGCCCACAGAGGGGCACCACTGCCCTTGTGTTGCCCCGCCCCCCCCTTTCCTGGGAGTGGGGACAGAGATGCACTCCCCTGCCCATTCTCATTCTGGCTTTACCCAGCCACTTCCCTCTGCCCTGCCCTGCCCCTTCCCCCCACACACACATACCTGTGTCTGTGTGTCTTTCTGTCTGTCCCCTGCCCGCCCGGCCACAGCAGGTACATGGCATCACATGGCTCTTGGGGCCCTGGGGTGCAGAGTACAGCCTGCAGCAGCAGCTGTCTCTGCCTCGCGCACAGATCTGGAGGACACATGCCCCCCAGACCTCCACTAGGGTGCATGCAGAAGCAGGAACTGCTGCCCCCACCCCACACCTCCCAGACAAACCACTCTCATGGCTCCGTCCCACACTCTGCCCTGGCTGTTCAGCCCCTGCCCCACTCTCTCCCTCACCACAGGGGCCTTGATCTGCACCCCTCCCCCCTTTAAAACCAAGAAAAAAATATAAAGGAGTACATGAGCTGAAACTTTGAGGCAGAAAGGGTACACTTGTTTAAAAAAAGGTTGAAAACGCCTGATCTATTTTGTTAGAGTCTTCTGCATAAGTTAGATTTATAGGTATGCAGGACTATACTTACTGCTTGACATTTGCTTTCTTGTTTTGTATGAGAGATTTGTAAATTCCCTATTTATCTTATGAGACATCTAGGTACAGTGGCATCCCTGGCTCTGCAACACTGAAAAGATGCTTCACTTTTCTTGGTATACTTGCAGTCAGTACGCATCCAATGAACTGGAACAGTAAAGTCCAGGCTTTCTAGTTTCTCCTGTATGAGCAAGTCATTTAATTCTTCCTGACCTTATGTTTCTTCATGCCTAAAATGAGATAAGGATAACAACACATGCATTTTTGGGGTGTTTTGAGGTGTTTGGATAGAAGTTGTAATAGTACGCTCTAGAATATTTGGTACTTACAAGAAATGCCAGGTTTGTCAGCTACCTATATTTTTATTTAATTTACGTTTTGTGCATTCTGAGAGCTCTGATAATAGCATTGTCATAATGTTTTTCACTTGCAAATGAGCTTTTTTGCTCTTCCCTTTGAGGGAGAGTGTAGGAGATATTGGTGATAAGTAGCAAATCAGTAATAATAACAGCAGTAAAACAGTCCTATTCCCATGCAGCTACTGCTGTAAAATAGAATGTTTAAAAATTAGATTTATGTATGTTTTAAAGTGATATGAAAGTGGTATTATAGCCGTGGTGGTCCAGAAATTATGGTGTAAGAAATTCTTGGCTGTTGTTCAAAGTGAATCATGTACATAAGTGTTTGAAGGACTCTGGTCTAATAGGGTGACTGATTAATACATTCTTCCATACTAGAGTAGGTGTTTGTAACTGTACCGCAATAGAAAAAAGACATTGTTTATTGTACTAACTCCTACATAAGTCAGTTATCCTATATTTACATATAGCTTGCTGTTAAAGCTGGAGTACCTTTATAAATATACAAGTGATGATACTGTTTTAGTCAGTGAAATGGCACTGACTAATAAGGCCATAGTGACAAGTTTTTCCAAACATTTATCATATACAAAAAGTAAGCCAATATAGCTAATTAGAGCATACATGATTACAAATAGCTGTGTGATGCACCTAATGTCTTAAAATTTTGTGATCTATTATGATAGGTACTTTGACTTAAAGTCAGCAATACTTCAGTGAGTTGAAACTTCAGCTTTAATGAATGGGAAAAGGAACGTTTTATAGTTTCTTTTAGTTGCATATTTAGATTTGATCTGTGTTTGAGGTATGATATTTAGCAACACAGAATGGCGAAAGGTGGGTATAGATTAATGGAGTCCAAGCATCCCAACTAATGCAAAAGGTTTTGGGGGGTTTCATTTGTTTTGTTTTGTGGCTTTAACATTTTCTGTCTTGTTCTTTTTAATCTGAGCAACAACTTTTTCTCTCTCCAGGCAAATGAAATGTTGTTCAGTGGAAGGAAGCTGACTGCACAGGAAGCTTGTGCAAAAGGACTAGTCTCTCAAGTGTTTTGGCCAGGGACATTTACACAGGAAGTCATGGTTCGAATTAAGGAACTCGTCACATGTAATTCAGTTGTAAGTTTAATTTGTTTTCTTGCATGTTATAGAGAGATTAATCATTTTACTCCTCATTCTAGAAACACGTTTCAGGATAAATGTAAAAGCTTGGTGATTGGTGTCCCAAGTTTTGATGTTGTTTCGCTTTCTAACACCTCTCCTTTCCTTAATGATATTGGACTGTTACAAAGTCACATCCCACAGTCAACTCTAGAATTAAGAATACCAAGTAATAATCTGCCTGAGCCAAGGAAAGTTAAAGAGCTTCAAGTGCTTTGTGAGATGCTATGGAGGGCACAGTACCTTTCAAGTAGACATATTATCAGGAGTAAATTCCATTGTGATATTGCCTGTACATGACTGATAATATCTCAACAGATGACAAGTTAGCCAAGCTGTTTTGTGTACAAGTTAGTAGGGCACTGTCAAGGATCTTCAGTGCACTGCCTAATAAGGCCATAGTGACAAGTTTTTCCAAACGTTTATCATATACAGTAACAAATAAATATACCGGCATATGCAGATCATGAGATTGAAATCCTCGACACGCCATTAGTTAAGTAATATTTGTTGGTTACTCAAGATACAAATTATAAGAAGCTACAGAAGCCTACTTGCTCAAGTGCACTGGTGACAATTGCAGGCCTAGCCGCTAGTATTTCACCATCACCATTTGATGTGCAGATTGGGTAAATAATGGGCAAGTTTCAGAATGAATAGACTTCATTTTGTTTTCATGCTTGTGAAATGTTTGCCTAAGCAGGACAAATGAATAGCCCAAAAACAACTAAGTGTATCCTAATTTTAAGATTAAATTTTAAATTACTTGGGCTGCTGTTTTATTACTATTTAAACTTAAGGTATTTCTGGTCATCTTTAGAGCAGTCCTGCAGAGTATGATGCCATATGGGATATAATAAGCTGCTTCCCATGAAGATCATCTCTGAAGTCCACATTTTTATGGATATCAAGATTACTATGTTAACATCAAGCTGTATTTATTAGGTTGATGTGTCAGCTTTTATTAATTACTTGGCTACAAAACTGAGAAGTCCCTCTAGCACTTCATGGAAAGGTCTTTGAGGCATCTTGTTCCATAGACTCACATGCATCGTTTTTATTAACAACATTAGAATTGTCTGTATCCATCTATGGGTGAATAAACTGTTTTGCTAGTAATGTCACTGAGCACTAATATAATTGTGTTTTTTGGCTTAGGTACTTGAAGAATCCAAAGCTTTAGTCCGTAATGTCATGAAGGTGGACTTAGAACAAGCAAATGAAAAGGAGTGTGAAGTTTTAAAGAAAATCTGGGGCTCTGCACAAGGGATGGACTCTATGTTAAAATACCTGCAGAGGAAAATTGATGAGTTCTGATGAAATGCACATTGACACTGGAATTTGTATTTGCTTGGACAGCTAAGGGCACAAAGAGGCCCAAATTAATTTTGAAAACCTAATATAAACTCACCCATAGCTCAGAGCTTGGGAATAGGATTAGAAAAACCCCACACTTTTTATTGATGGGGGTTTTAAAGTACTGTATCTTAAAAAAAATGAACAAAATTCCTTTCTCCCTATATATATATATATATCTTTATATACACAAACTAAAATTATAATGGAGTGCACTACCAAACATCTCTTTGATGCTCTAGTTTTTTGTTATCATTGGCTAGTACTGTATCAAAAATGGGGAAAAAGTGAAATATGTTGCATTATTTTGTATGTGGCAGGGAAGTCTGGAATAATGATTTTTCATTAGAATGCAGAATCAAAACGGGTATTAGCCAGCCCTTACTTTCACTGCCCAACCAGTTAGTTAAGACATAAGGCATTGTCTCAGAAAAAGGTTGAAATACCTCAAATAATGAAACATTCTAAATAATTTTTGTTTGAGAATTAAAACCTATAATGAAAGATTTATTCACCTACATGTCCCGAAAAAATGAGTGTGCTCAGGATTTATGCTAAGAAAACACTCTGTCCTTTTTGGGAGGGAACATGTCTAATTCTTACCCAGATAGCATGAAGAAACCACTGTCTCTTACGGGGTGGGGGAGGAGAAAAAAAGCTTGTTTTGCAGTATTAGTGAATCACTGAATATCTTATGTATGAATATCCTAAGTTATAAGTTAGTTTTAGTGGGTTTTTAAATAGTCTTTCTGATTTTTTATAACTACATAAGTGCTTCTGTTGCTGGGTGAGAATACTACTTTATATACAGTTTGTTTTTTTTTTTCCTATTTGCTGGTTTAATTGATGTATTACACCAAAAATGCATTTTATGTTAATAAATTTTTAGGTTCACTTAGAATATATTATTTAATAAGTTAAAATTCTTTTGGCACACTATTAAGTACAAAAAAACTCCTTTAAAGAACTACCTTATATTAGATGTTTAATGTTCTTTGTCTATGCTTTTTTATTATTTTAAATATACACTATATAAACAGTATGGTGTAAAAGAGTGCCCAGTGTAAATAGACCTATTTTGCATTCCTTTCAGGAGTGGTTACTGATTCCTGACTGCAGATATCTATTATTACTTGGGTATCTGCACTTGCAATCTTATTGAATGTATTATGAAGAATGAAAAAATATCAAACCTTATTTTTGTACAGTTTTGAAGTTTATACTTGGAACTGACCACCTGCCCTTCCTAGTGGAGAGCTGTACAGTGTGTAAATCTGCCTTTACCTTTGATTGGTACAGTATTTTTGCATCTGTGGGACCTACTATTTGTTCTAGTAGTTTGAACTATATATAAACTGTACAATCTGTAAAGTTTTTATAGAATAAATATTCAGCTGTGAAAACTGGTTAAAATAAAACTAATATTTCTTAACACATTTTAAATGTGCGTCTCTTATACAGTTTTCTTTTCTTTCCCCAAACTATCTCAGTTCAGCTTCTCAAGGAAACATCTTGCTTACTCTTTAACCAAACCCTGGAAATGCTGGTTTTCTGAAGACTGCACTTTAAGCATAGCTAATTTGAGTAAAATAAATTAAAGATCATGTAAAGACTGCAGATTAAAACATTAATCGGTTACACTTTCCAAGGTTCATATGGCAGATGTGGCACATTTCTTTAGTGTCAAATGGAAAATTTTCTTACTGCCTGTAAACCTTGCTGATATTTTCTTTTAGACTGGATGGAAAGCATTAAGATTTATAGTTGTAGATTAGAAGTATTGTTGTAGCCATGATAGTGTGGGAAATATACAGGAAGCAAGGGGGTTTTAGAGAGATCTTTTATTATATTGGATATAGAAGGGCACTGTACACCAGAGCTTGTAACATCTCTCCCAACTATAGTTAGTCTAATAAAAGGTGACACCAAAATACCCTTGCTTCTCACGAGCAATTGCTGTACAACCTCTTCATAATATTTCAAAATGTTTTTGCACTAACCCTGTGGACTCTTAGCCATGATTATACTTAAATGAAATTTGTTTGGATACGGTCATATTGAATGAAAAGGAGATACCCAGTATGCTGCACCAGCTCTGATTTTATGGATTTTGGGTCCACTTCTCCTTGGTACTTGCATCCTTTTACATTGCTGTGGCATTCAAAATGAGTGTTTTAGGTTTCTTTATGCTGCCTTTAAGCTGTGTATAGAAGCCTAAAGGAGGATCCAGCCCACTATTCCTGTGGGCATCTTCCAAAATGCCCCTGCAATCAACTCAGCTGGAATGAATTAAATATAAAAAAAAAATCAGTACATACTTCTGTACCATTTGCCTGTAACAGCAAATAAGATTAATTAAAAACAAACAACTTGTAGGGCAGGTTGGTCACCATGCTTAGGAGCCAATAAAATACAGTAAAAACTTTATTTCTACAAGTTGTTTAGGGAGTTTAAGTTTTTGAAACTAAATGCTGCCAGCAGATCTGAGAAAACGTATTGATTAGAAACAGGGCCATGGTCCTCTCCCCCTTTTCATGCGTCATCTGTGCCTTGAAATTAAAAGCATACAAGTACTTTAATGTAGATACCCTCAAGAGTTTCCTCCTCCTCTTGCTTTGGAGTGGGCTGGCATTCCTTGAAGATACTCAAAAGTTATGTGCAGCACAGAAGCACATGCTGCCTTCTGCACTTGTTTCAGGACACTCACATGGACTGAAGAACAAATACTAAACATCAGTGCACATGTTTTTTTACAGGTTATAAGTGCCTCTGAAATCTTGGTCCTCAGTTTTGTCTAACTTCGGATTAGGAACCCCTAGCTATAGGTAAGTTATAATCTCTGGGGCCTCTCTTTCCTTACAAGAGATTTATCTAAACAAGTTACAAGAGTTTACCAGAGACAACTCTGTTTCCGAGAGAAAAGTTCCAGTAGTGAATTTTCTATCACTGCTGTTACTTTTCATTTGTTTCTTTGTATATAAGGAGAGGCCAAAAAGCTCGAATTCTCCAGACAAAAGTAGCTAGTGGGTATAGGAAGGGAAGTTAGCCTGATCCACTTTAAGGAAGAGCTGGAAAATCTCTACCTTAAGTAATCTGCTAGCATGCCTCCATGGCAAATACAGGAAGCTATAGCTTCTCATAAAGCTGATTTAAGCAGACATTGCTTTTTCCTTATATACATTAGTTTTCCAAAAACATCATGATCTGCAAGAGCAGAGGGCCTTTAATAGTTCACATGAGACTCGGATAGATTTTAAAAATAAGGATTGTAGGAAAATAAGGCTGGAAGGGACCTCATGACATCATTTAGTTTAGCTCCCTGCTCAGGGCAGCATCAACCTTTACTAAACTATCCCAGTCAAGTGATTTGTGTAACCTTCTCTTTCCAGGGATGAATCCTTGTTTCAATGCTTCACCACCATCATAGTCAGAATGTTCTTAATCTTCAACCTAAATGTCCTGTGTTCCAGTTTGAGGCCATTGCTCCTAGTTTTGTCCCCTATAGCCACAGAGGCAAGGCTATCCCCATCTTCTTTAAAATACCCTTCAAGTTCTGTGTTTGAAGACTGTTTCCAAATCCCCACTCAGTTTTCTTTTCTCCAGACTAAACATTGCTAGTTATTTCAGCCTTTCCTCATAAGCCTTGCCTCATAGATTGTAGAGTCGGAAGAGACCACAATGGATCATTGTGTCCGACCCCCTCCCCCTGGCAGGAAAGAGGACCGAGGTCAGATGACCCCAGCCAGATGACTATCTAGCCTCCTCTTGAAGACCTCCAAGCTAGGTAATAGCACCACCTCTCTTGGAAGTCCATTCCAAATCCTGGCCACCCTTACTGTGAAAAATTTCTTCCTAATATCTAACCTAAATCCACTCTCAACTAGTTTACATCCATTATTCCTAGTCTCTCCCTGGGGCACCTTAGTAAACAGCGCTTCCCCTATTCCCCACTGACCTCCCCTAATAAATTTATAGGCGGCCACAAGATCTCCCCTCAGCTGTCTCTTGTGAAGGCTGAAGAGATTCAGCTCTCTCAACCTCCCCATGTAGGGTCTATAGCGAAGGCCACCAATCATGCAAGCGGCCCTCCTCTGGACCCTCACCAGATTCCCCGTGTCCATCTTGAAGTGCGGCGCCCAAAACTGGACACAGTACTCCAACTGCAGCCTGACCAGTGCCGCATAGAGGGGGAGCATCGCCTCCATTGTTCTATTAGTCATGCACCTGCTAATGCATGACAAGGTGCAATTGGCCTTGTTGATGGCCTCGTTACACTGCCGGCTCACGTTCATCTTGGAGTCAATTATGACTCCAAGATCCCTCTCTGCCTCCGAGCTGCTGAGAAGGACACTCCCCAACCTATAGGTGTGCTAGGGATTCCTCCTTCCCAGGTAGAGTACCTTACATTTATCTTTATTAAATTGCATCCTATTTCTCTCTGCCCATTGATCCAACCTGTCCAGGTTGGCCTGAATCTGCTCCCTGCCCTCTGGTATATGAACTTTGCCCCATAACTTGGTATCATCAGTGAACCTGGAGAGGGTGCTCTCCACGCCCTCTTCCAAATCGCTGATGAAGATATTAAATAATATCGGTCCGAGGAC